GCTCCGGCTTCGGAGTTGCGACTCCCCCCAGCCACCCCGCGAGGGCGCGTGCGCGCGGCCGCACCACCGGCTGAAGAGGCTTCTCCCTCCTTCCCTCCCTCCAGCGCCGGGCACTTCCGGACCGGACGCGATCCGCTGCCGGGTTTTGGCTGTCGCCGCCGTCGCTGCCGACGCCGCTGTCGCCGCCTGGCACTAGGCTTCTGGACCTGCCCGAGCCGCGCTGAGGCACGGGGGCGACTCCGCCTTCGCCCGGCATAAAACTTTCTTTGCCTAAAAAGCCCAAAACAGCGCCTTCTGACTGGACTGCTGCGCATAGGTCCGAAAGGCCGCGTCCGTGTCAGCCACGGTATTCTTGGGCTGTACCAGTCTGGAAAGTTTTATTGAGTCCCTGTTGCAAGCCCAGAACTCCATGAACTGCCCCAACACAAACAGCTGTGCAGTCTCCAACGAGAAATAGAACAGTCCGAATAGACAGATGAGGTGTCAGAGTGGAACTGTTTTTTTTTTTTTTATTTTGTTGTTGTTGGAAGAGACAAACCTCAAATGGAAGTCTCAGACCCCGGAGGGAAAAGGTCCCCTGAAGAGTAGCAGGGCGGCAGAGGATGCTCCAGAAGAGCAGGTGGCATCCGCAGGCTGGACGTTGGTAAATTCAGGTATATAAGCAAATGTCTACAAAGATGAGGGAACTGCCCCGAGCCGTTTAGCGAAACAGTGGCAAGAGAACTTTTTTCAGCCGGCTCCTAGGACAGAGGTAACAGGAACTCCAAGAATATTCACTCGTATTTAAATATTCACTCGTATTTAGGAGCCAACAACCAGGGTTGACAGGATAGGCAGGAGAATCGTTTAAGCACCCTCAACTCCTTTTACTTTAATTTGGCATTAAGCTTCCAGGAAAAGTGGGGTGGGCGTGAGGGGGGAAAATTTTTCAGAATATATTGTACTGTGTAATTATTGACTTCCGTTTTTTAAAAAAGAGCTTAAACTTTAAGATAGAAACTATTCCTATCTTGAAAACAAAAACATCTGAGCATCAGAAATCATATTTTATTCAAGGATTAGTAGGATTTGAAAACTGGGAAGGCAGATTCCATCACTTGACATTAATACCAACTATTGTATTATAAACCCAAACCTTTCTTGGGATAAAACCACACCAGCGATTTTCGGGGTGAGGGTGTGTGTGTGTGGGGGGGAGATAAAATCAGTATAACCAGGGAGTGCAAGGTTGCCTTGGGTCAAGAGTTAAAAAACAGAGTAGAAATAAGCATTGGTTTTCTGGGAACTGTTGGGGAGAGGAAATATTGGTGCAAAATTTCACCATCTTCAAGCATGAACAGGAACAATTAAAATTGTTTGCTGTGCTCATCGTGGGTCTGCGTTAACTTTATGGTATTTGATGGAGACAGTGAAAATTACATATACCCTTTGACCAGACCTTTTAGCTGCTTTCAGGTCCTTAATCTATCATGCCCATTCTTCCATAAATCAGTCGTTTTTAGCTACTAATAAATGTTACATGCTCAATAACAAATTATCATAAATCCTTCAGGTAGATTTTTAGTTGGGCGTTAAGATATGAGTGGTACCAAATGAGACGTGATGCTTGACTGGGCTTAGTCAGGGAATAATTCAGTAAACTTCCACTACACGGATGTCACATTGTTCCTCAGGGTGTTCTCAGTCTTTTCCCTAAGCAGCTTTCCTTGAAATATTTGGATATGCCCGTTGTATTTTTTCCGTTTTGTATTCGGTAACTTTATCTGATAAAATAATAGCAAAGGTGAAAGTGAGTATGGATTGTAAATAATGTTAATAAAACTGATTACTTGACCAAGTAAAAGATGACTTGATGCAACAAAGCGTGAATTAAAACTTAGTGCTTTATTACCAGTCCCCTAAAGAACTGCCTTTCTTGATTTGATTTCCTATTAATGGATACCTGTTTGAAAACACAACTATCATATAGGCTTTAGCTTATTGCTGTTATAAATGACTTTTTAAAAACAAAGGAAATGTAATAGTTTTATTACTGGTACAGACCATAGTGGAATCAGGGCTTCCATCAGCCCTGTATCAGACTTTTATCACTTAAGGAACTTGGTCCTTAGGATCATTCAATTCCTTGAGAATAAGAAACTTTCGGTTTTTATTGCTGCTCATTTGTCAATTTTCTATAGAAAATCAGAGTGCTCAATGGATGAGTTTGACTTTGGAAGTTCTCTTTGGTGTAATTTACAGGTTGGCGGTGAATAAAGATCAGAACTGCCATTCTCTGAGTTTAATGTACACAAATGAGACTTTGGATTTTCTGATTTGACCCTAAGAGGCTCTGTCTAAAGAGTCAGCCAGTCATCTTTCATAGTTACTGTAGTGACTATAGCATCTTACTCTTTTTTGCCTAAATTGGACAACACAGATGCTCTCATATCATGGTTGGGTACTCTCAAAGAACTTGCCATTGCCTTCCATACCACCACCTGTTTTGTAAATTTCAAGTTTTAGTTGTCAAAGAGTTTGAAAAATATTGCTCTATTTAGAAATTTAAAAACGTAGAAATATGCTTGCTAGTAGCAAATACATTATACTTTATAGGTTTAAGGTATACACTGAATTTCCCAGGACAGTTTGTTCACTTCCCTACCCTTTTTAAATGTGGTCTACCAAATCCTTCTCTCCTAGTGAACTCGTTTTCTCATATTTTTCTAACTACTATCCTTTCCTATTCTAGTATATCCTATTTTTCTTCAAGGAACCTGAATTCCTTGAAGATGAGCTGATATTTCTATCATAAGCAGATATGATATTTGTGATCAGAAAATTTAAGATGACAATTAGCTATTGGGATTTATGTAGAAAGAAAAAAACAACTTGTTTACTATTTATCTCTATTATAACCATAGGACTTTTTATCTGGGGGGAAAAACAGTACAACCCTTGTTTAATAACTTGTAAATTAGTTTACTCAATTTCGTTTTCTCTTCCCATGGATCCATTTCTTTCTGTATTTTCACCTTACTTGTGAACTATTAGCTGTGTATTGTTTATATTACATGATACTCTCTTTTTATGAGTACAAAATATTTCAGAATCCTAATATTATATATGCAATTCTTGTTTAGTGATACCTGTAGCAAAACACAAAACCAAAAACAAAACAAACCAGTAACTATGATGTACTTACCACTCAAAAATCTTTCTTAGAGAACTGAGAACAAAGACCCACTCAGAATTCTAACAGGATAATTTTAATGATCCTTGTTTAAGTCCTTCATTAGGACCCTTATTTTCATGTCTCTAGTTGTGTTATGTCAAAATTTCAGAATAGTCCCTTGTGTCAGTTTATACAGACACATGTATTTATTACTTTGGTTCTTGGAATAGTATGTAGAGTCTACTATAAAGCTATTTTTTTTCTTCTATCTCCATGTTAAGTATCTAAGTTGAGTTGCAGGATAATTTTGCATACTATTATATTTTATAGCCATTCAGTTAAACAGCTTTGAAACTTTGAAACTCTTAAAACATTAGAAGTCCCTATCTTCTGTATCTATGCCAACGAATGGGAATTAATCTAGGGAAGAAATCATCTTGGAAAAAAATCTGGATCACCCTACCTGAAGACATACATTCATAATGTAGCAGCAGAAAAACAACAAAAAACAAGATTACCCTTAGCCCCACCACAGCCCTCTAGACTTGCCCTAAGAAAAACTTACGTACAATTGCTAGAAATCTTTTACCATGCCAGGATCTGCATTGCTTCTGCATTAGTCCCAATTCACGGTGACCTCTCTCTTTAGTTTGGCCAG